CCCACCTCTCCTCCCCCAGCCCCTGGTAAACACCCTTCTGCTTTCTGTCTGTGAATCTGACCACTCCAGATAACACACAGAAGACAATCTTCTTTCTGTGCCTGGCTGGTTTTGCCCAGCGTGACGTCCTCTAGATCCACCCGCGTTGTAGCCTGTGGCGGGATTTGCTTCCTTTCTGAGGCTGAATCATACTCCACGTGTGGAGGGAGCATGCCTTCGCTGTTCATCCGTGGTGGGTTGATGGACAGTGTCCTGCTTCCACGTCTCTAATGCTGCTGTGCTCATGGATGTACAAACATCTCAGAAACCCTGTCCTCAGTTCTTCCTGTACCCAGAAGGGGACTTTGTACGACAATTCCATGATTCGTTTTTGGAGGAGCCCCCAAGCTCCTTCCCACAGCAGCTGCATTCCCACCAAGAGTCCCCAGAGCACCCCCAACTTCACCTCCCCGCCACACTTGCTGTTTTCTGGGTTGTTTTTTTATGTATTTATGTATTCAGTATTGCCATCCCAATGGAGGTGAGGTTTGCACCTTTTTCTGTTTTGTTGTATTGTAGAGATGGGGTCTTGCTAGGTTGCCCAAGCTGGTCTCAAACTCCTGGGCTCAAGCAGTCCTCCTGCCTCGGCCTCTCAAAGTGCTGGGGTTACAGGCGTGAGCCAGCCACCGCACCTGACTTACCAACTGTTTTCAATAGCCTGTGGAGATACAGAAACATTCCACCCCATGACCGATGGCTTGGCGGGCCCATCTGGCCAGCGTCTCCACCACAGACAGGGTCAATCTGTTGTCCAGGCTGGAGTGCACCTCCCAGGCTTTAGCAATCAATTCTGCCTCAGCCTCCTGGGTAGCTGGGACCACAGGCATGGGCTACCATGCCCCTATAACTGAATTTTTTTAATTTAACTAATTTTATTTAATTTAAATCGCTGCACGTGCCTCAGTTGTTACATCCCACACCTCCAGCAGTGACTCCAGCGCCTCACTGTGGCTGTACCTCTGTGAGCCTGGTCCGGGAGGCTGGCCCGGCCCCTGTCAGAGGCCTGGGCACCCCAGGAGGATGCAGGAGCCGCACCCCTGCAGATGTTCTGGCCCCCACGGCTCTGAATCACCAGCAAAAAGGTCACAGACCAGGTCAGGTCTGCAAACTACCCGCTCACTGATCACGGCGTGGGGAAAGAAGTGGGGGCATCGCGGGTGGGGGGATGCCCTGAGGCCATGCAGCATCTGCTCTCAGAGCTGTGGGCATCAAGACCACGGGTGAAGGCCAGAGAGATGCCTGAGGCAGCCAGAAGACAGGTGCACCCACAGCTCACACACCTGCCCAGCACCCCTGGTGCTGGTCCCCTGTCCAGGAGGCTGTGGGGCCAGTGTCCAGTGGGAGCTGATTCAGGCCTGAGGTCACTGTTGGCCACCTTGGTGCCCATGGCTGGGGCTTTCACCCTCAACCTGTGAGTAGGGTGCTGGTCAGAGGAGGCCTGCTGGACACCTCCCACCTGGCAAACAAAGTCAGTGGCCCCCACATCCCTCCAGGGGGCCTCCACCTGCCTGACTCCTCTCCTTTCACTTCCCACAGCCTCGAGAGCCACCACGGGTGGGGTCCTTTTCAGGTTTAGCCTTAGTGCCTGACTCACCTGCAAAACCTCTTGGAATTGAGTCAGCCTCTACTCTGCTGCCCTGGTGCCCACCCAGCCCTGCAGGCGGTGGGAAGGGGCACTTGCAGGCAGCGGTCACCCCGAACTTCCCAAAGCCTCTGCTCTGTCCCTGGAGGGCCCCAAGGAAGGACAGGAGACGCAGAGAGAGGCAGGGGGGCCCTGAGCAGCCCTTCTCAGGCAGCCTCCAGGGAGCTGTGCCCGCCTGCGTGTCCCCCATCCTCACCCACCCAGTGGACTCCACTTGAATGCCCGACTGGGGCAGCGTGAGGCCCACAGAGCTGCCCACCCTCACACCTCCCTTACCCCAACCAGGAAAATTGGGGGCTCCGAAGGACAAAGCGGTGTTTAAGGCGGGGTGAGCTGTGCCGGGTGTGGCAAGAACCCACCACAGGAGAGGTGGGGGTGGGAGGGGGCATCGTCGGGGCCAAGTAGCTGTGGCCTCAGGTTACCCATAGAGCATGTGACGGCTGGGGTGGTGTGGGGCCGGGAAGAGGCGGGCCTGTAGGCTGGGAGGACGCCCAGACCAGTCCAGTGGATGGGTGTGGGGGGGGGGGCGCGCGTAGGGTCTTCGGGGAGGAGGGGCGTGGAGTGCAGGGTAGCGGGCATAGGGATGTCCAGGAGGGGACAGTGTGGTGGTATTGGGGAGGGAGATGGGGAGACTGGGCTTGTCAAGGAGCGGGGCATGTTAGGGTGTCCGGGAGGAGGATGTGGAGGTATGGGGGGGGACGGGGGAGAGTAGGGGTGTCGGCCTGGAGTGGGGGGTGTGTGGGGGTGTCAAGGAGGGCGCGCATGGGGATATGGGGGGGGGCGTGGGGGTGTCCGAGAGGCTGCGGGGGTGGGTGTTGGAGAGGGGATGAGGCCTCTCCCTCAGGTGGTCCCGGAGGAGGCTCCAGCGAGTCTTGACGGGGCCGGCGGGAGCAGGGTGGTCTGGCACCGGCGGGAGCACGCGCTGGGCCTGGTGCCTTCCCTGAGCCCGTGGCCGCGGGTGGAGCCCGTTTCGGGGACTAGTTGGGCTCCGGGCCCTGTGTGGGGACGGGGCTGCCGGCCTGGGAGTGACGCGGGATTTCGCCGCCCAGCGCTACCCCGTCCGGTCCCCGACGGTGGGGGTCGGGGCGGTGCCCGCGGGGGCTACGCTCTGGGGCGCGCGGGGACCAATTCTCGGGGGCGCCGAAGTCTCCTAGCAAGGGCAGCTCACCGGGACGCGTCCCAGAGCCGGGGGCGGACGGAGGCTTTGGTGACCCCAGGCCCCGGCTGCCGGAGGCGGGGAGGACTGAGCCTCCGCTGTGGGGCCGCTGGGTGGGAGACAGGGGCCGCCCCGGCGCAGCAAGGGCCTGGATGGGGGCCCAGGACCGAGGGGGTGTCTGACCCTGCTGCATGGAGGCGAGGATGCCTTCGTACTTCGGGGGGTCGGAGGGGGCGTTTCAGGTGGAGGTGGAGTCGGGGGAGCTGGGAAACTGGGAGGAGGGTCTCCGTGTAGAGCTGGGGGTGGGAGGGCTGAACGGCGTGCAGAAGGGGCTCAGACCCCGGGGGCCCCCGAAATTAGAAATGGAGAAGGGTAAGGCTGGGTGCTGGAACGTGTGTTGGTGCGTTTCACAAGTCCACGCTTGTGGCGTTCCTCCTTATGTAAGGGATGCTTCTAGGCCTTTTTCCTGCCTGTCGAACGTTCTGTGTTGGAGGGTCATGGGGGGTGCTGTCTTTTGCTCCATTTTGAGGCACCGCCCACAGCAGCCCGCACCACCAGGGCCTCTGCTCCCACGTGGCAGGGCCGCCCCCACTGCCCCAGGGCTGGGGACCCGCCCCGGGGGCACCCTCGGAGCCAGTCATGTGGCCGCAGGCATCGGGCCCTCGCCGCCGCTGGTCGGGACACTCGGCCGGTCCCGGTCTCTCCGGAGACGAAGTGGGGAGGGGTCTAGGCCGAGTTCCGGGCCCCTATCCCGCCTATTTCACTCCCAGACGCCACGTCCAAAGCCCCCGGCGCCCCGCCCCCGCCCGCCTCCCCCTTGAGGGTCCGGGGACCTAACTGGGCCGGTGCACGGTCCAAGGAAGACCCGGGTCAGCGGCTGCGTGGTCCGTGCCCCGACCCCTCGCCTGGGACCCAGGTCAGCCGCCGATCGCTTCCCCGAGAAGGTCCCGCCAGCGCCCACCTCCCGGGCTCCCCCCTCTTTCTCAGCCTGGGAGGCTGCGTTGGGCGTTACCGGGGGACGAGGCCTGCGGGTCTATTTGATTTCGCCGGGCGGCTTGGGCGCTGAGGCGGCGGCGTCAGGGCCGGGCCCGGGATCTGGGCGGCTCGCTGGACCCCGTCTGCGCCGAAACCCTGCGTGGCTTCCAGGGCCGGACCTGCGCTCGCTCCCAATTCCGGCCGCAGGAGACGCAGGGCGGACCCGGAGCCCGAACCCTGGGGACACCGTGGCTGAGAGTCCGGCGGAGGCTCGGGGCGTGGCCGCGTCCCACCCTACGGCGCAGGCGATCCGGGGGCGTCGGAGACATTGCGCCCTGGTTCTCCGGGCAGCTCGGGCTGGAGGTTAGTGGGAGCAGCGACCGCGGTGACCGTCCCCGTGAGGTTTGCGCTCCACAGCCCCCGGTGGCTCTGTCCCCGCCCTGGCCACCGTGGGGACAGCCCGGCTTGACGGGAACGCGCCAGTCGCGCAGCCGAAGTGGAGTTGCGAGCCCTTGAAGCTCGGGATGGGGTCGGGGAGCCACGCGCGCCCGAATGCCCGGGAGCGAGTCCCCCAGAGGAGCCGGGCCGGGGCTGGAGGCGGCGGAGTCCACTGAGCGCGAGGCCCCCCCCGGCACTCCCTCCCCGCGCGCCGCTCCGCCAGGCCCTCCGCTGTCTCTCCTTTCCCGGAACGCCTCCTGGGGTCCTGCGCGGACGCGGCGCACGCGGGCACCGGCCGAGTCCGCCCTGACTCTCCCAGCCTGAAGCCGGCTCGCGCTCAGGTGTCCGGGCTGGACACACGCTCCAGCGTCCCCACGGAGAGGAGAGGTGGCCGGCCCTCGCTCGGGACGCGCCCGAGTGGGAGTGGGACCCTCTTCCCTGCCTGCGGCCCCGGCCTGCGGGATGGGGGTTGGGAGAGATGAAAGGAATCCGCCGTTCCCGAACCCTCACCGCTCCGGGAACCAGGCCCGCAGCCCCGCCCCTCCCCCAGACATCTAGGAGCGGGGAGGTGTGAACGGCCTCCTTTGTGCCTCTGAACGGAGGCAATTAGGCGCTGCTTATCTGGGAATTAGTCGTCCCAGCAAACCGGGCTTCCGCCCCCTCCTCCTGGGCGTATAAATGGCGGAGCCCGCGGTGCCACCCGCGCCTGGCCAGCCCCGCCTGGCCTTCCCTCCGGCCCACCTGGCCGCCATGCGTCTCTCCTCCTCCCCACCTCGTGGCCCGCAGCAGCCCTCCAGCTTTGGCTCGGTGGACTGGCTCTCCCAGAGCAGCTGCCCGGGGCCCACCCACACCCTCAGGCCTGCCAACGCCTCCCCAGGGGTCCTGCCTGGCCTGGGCCAGGCACCAGCTACCCGGGAGTCCCCTCAGGCCATCAGCATGGAGGAGGCTAGGTCCCCACATCTGCCTGTGCCGCAGAGGACCGTGGCTGGTAGGTCCGGATCGGGGGTCCCTTCCTTTCCAGGTGGAGATGGGAGTTGGGGAGAGGCCAGGAGCCAGACGGCTGCATCCCCCGCAGTGGCCTGCGGACTAGGGCAGGGCCTGAGGCTTTTCCTTGAGGACCGGCCAGGGCCTGGCCTGCGCCCTTCCTGGAGCACAGCTTCCCACGAAACCAAAGCCTTGACGGGGATTTTCTCTCCTTGAGCCCCCAGTGGGCTCCCCTGCCTGTCCTGTCACCCCGTTCCCCACCCCAGCCTGGTGGTGAGGGACCGCCCAAGGAGTCCCAGTCTGCATTTCCCTGCCCCAATTCCAGGCGCCCCCCAAAACACAGCACAGACTTGGGTCCCGTTCCTCTGGTCTTCCAGCCCCTTGGCCATCGGGACATAGGTCCAAGGGCCCCAGTGATTTGCCAACCTCCCAGCACCTAGGTTCAAGCCGGTCCCAGGCCTCCTGGAGTACAGCTGTCTTTTCTTAAACAGTGCCGTGGATTTGGTGTAAGGGTGGCCGTGACCGAGGCCTGCAGAAACTGAAGTTGTCTCTGTCCCTGTGGTCTGCTGACAGCAAAGGTTCTCCGCGTTTGTCTGTTAGTCTTTGCAATGTCATCTCGGGTTTTAGGTTTAAGGTAGTACTTGGTCAAAAGTGGGGTTGACATTGAAAGTTTTCACTTTTTTTCTTTTTAAAGACGGGGTTTCACCATGTTGGTCAGGCTGGTCTTGAACTCCCGACCTCACGTGATCCTCCCGCCTTGGCCTCCAAAGTGCTTGGATTACAGGCGTGAGCCACCACGCCAGGCCTGAAAGTTTTCAATTTTAAAAGTCTCATCCTTACGGAGTAACCTTGTGCTTCAGGGAGGTGAGAATGTAAATGTGTTCTCTGCAGCTAGTTAGCCTGCTCCACCCCAAAAAAGCCAGCCCTCCCCACCCTGCACCCACTCCCGGTGCTGACCCCTACAGGCCTCCCCGACGCACGGCACTCACTTGCTTTCCAGGTCTGCCGAATGCTTTCAGGTTAGCGTTGAGACAGACTGTAAAGTGCACTTCCTCCACAGAAACACCCGTGAGCATTTTGGTCAGACTCGAGGTGAAGGTTGATTCATTTCACCAGTTGGCCTCCTTCCTGGGACTCAGCCCAGATGCCCAGGCCACCTTGTGGGGCTTTTTAACACCAACCCCCATCCCTCCTTTTAGAAATTAGAAAACAGACGAGACGGAGGCAGGCCTGGAGATGCAGACTGAGCTCCCTGGGTGGGGCCCAGGCCTTTGCATATAATGGAGTCTACCTTACCTGGCTGGAAGGTCGGGAAGGGCGTTCTCGGAAGCAGCTTCTGGAAGGGAAGTGTGGGATGGGGCAGAAGGGAGTGCACTGAGCAGGGGTCAGGCCGACAGTGCCGTTAACATTCCTTCCTGCCTCGAGCCACCTCGCTGGGCCGGGTTGCTGGTCCCAGTCAGGAGAGAAGGTCTGCCCAGGCCATCCCCGCCCCAGCACAGCTGTCTTCGCCTGTGGTTACCCGTGGCCGGGAGCCTGCCCTCTGGGGCCTGTGGAGCCGATTGCCCTCACCCTCTCCGGCAGGGTTGAGTGGGGAGCCAAACCCCTGGCGGGCTCCCCTGTCCACACAGCCTTCAGCACCGAGCAGGTCCGCACCCTGGAGGGCGTCTTCCGGCACCACCAGCACCTGGGCCCTCTGGAGCAGAAGAGGCTGGCCAGGGAGGTGCAGCTCTCAGAGCTCCAGGTGAGGTGGGCCAGGCAGACTGGGGTGGGCAAGGGTGGCCTGGTGGCCTCCTTTCACCCCTGCTGCCATCTTGGTTTTCCTGCAGGTAAAAACCTGGTTTCAGAATCGCCAGATGAAGCACAAACGGGAGGTGCAGGATGCCCAGCTGAACAGCCCCTTCTTGGGGTCTCTCCACCTGCCCCCGGCTCCTCACTCACCATCTCCCGGCCTGGCCAGTGACCTGCAGCTGCTGTGCCCCTGGGCACCCCTGCCCGGGCCCCAGGCTCTGCTGCTGCCCCTGGGCTCCTTCTGGGGTCTCTGCCAGGTGGAACAAGAGGCCCTGGCCTCTGCCTGGCCATCCTGCTGCGGGCAGCCCCTGGCATACCACCTCTAAGCCCAGGACATGGCGTGCAAACTCGGGGACCAGTGCTGTCCATGGGGCCCTGGGGCCTGCGTGCTCTGCCTCAGACGGGGGATGCGTTTTGAGAAAGCACCTAACACGCGGTCTGTGCAGCGGGCACCTGGCGCCCGCCGGAGGACAGAGCTGCTCTGTTTACACCTCTCACCCTGAGCCACGCAAAGGCTCTGGAGATTTCTGGAGAATATTAAAGCCACCTCTTCACTGAAAGATTTCAAAAGGGTCAGTTTAGGAAGTCAATGAAGGGTCAGTGAACAGAGTCAAATGCAGCAGTGGACTTGTTATGGGTAGGGCTTTCAGCATATGGTAAAAGGATAATTTGTTTTTTAAAAAGTGTTGGAAAAACGGGTTTTCCAGTTGGAAAAAGTAAAGGTTGTAAAGCTTTGTGTGTAAAAAAGAAAGCCACGAAGGATTGGAAGGGAATGCAGGTGTCATATTTATAACCTTGTGGTGGGTCCCTCTTCGCAAGGACCCCAAAGCTGGAAAGCCGGAGAGAACAAAGGTGAAAGTGAACGTGTGCGCTGGGGCCTCCGTGCGCTCTGGGCTGTGTGTGAGCCGGGACTGCGCCTGCAGCCTGCTGGACGCTGCTCTTCTCTGGCCAGGGAAAGCTGGCAGCCGGGACCTGCGGCCGTGCCTGGACTGACTGTCCTGCCTGTCCCCACCCTCCAGCTGTGCTCGTCCGTCCCCTCCTCACAGCAGCCTCGGGACAAAACAACGACTCCGGGACAGCACTTTCTGCAGAAAGTCTAGAAGTGCCCAGCATGGGTGGCACGGAAGCCCTCCTCGGGAGGACCGCCCCTCGTGGATGGACCGTTCTGGGGGCAGACTCCTGGCTGCACACACAGCCTCAGACAAGCACGTGTCGGTCCACGTTGCCCCGGAGTGCCACGGAGGCAGGCTGCATGGGCGCCCAGGTGGACAGGTTCGGCCTGCCGGACTGCGAGGCAACCTGTGAAACCTACCCAGGCATCCCACCAGAAACAATGTCCTGTGGCCATGTCCACGGCAAGGGCCACTTTCCCCTTGCGCATTTCTGCATTGCTGGAAGTGTTAGAACCAGCACGTGCTTTTATGATACAACCCCAGGAAAGAGCGGAAGAGCTGCTGTGTGCCCTGGACAACGCGGACATGTGGCTGTGGTTGGAGTCCGTGATAAAAGCCCACGTGTGCAGCCCCGCCCTCGGGAATGGCTTCCGGTCCCTGTGTGGCTCCGGCCACACACCGTTTGGCCCTGGTCTCTGAACTCCCCTGTGAGTACGGCCCTGAGCCGGTGACATCTTCAGGTCCTGCCACCACGCTGGAGCCTACAAGGCAGCAGCCTCTCGGGGCTGAGCTGGGCCTTCCTAGGACCTGGCTTGATCCTGCAGAGGAGCAGGGTGGGCTCCACGTGTCCAGCAGGGACCCAGACACTGAGTTCCGAGGGTCCTCAAGGCCTTGGGACCTAGGGAGGGCTCTGCCACCCAGAAATTCCAAACCTCCCTTCCTGAGCCCCGTCGGGCTGCCATGGGAGTCGGCTGCAGCGATGTAAAGAAGGCCCCACAAATGCACGCCCCTCTGTCCCCACAAACAGTGACCCCACTGCCCCCACGAGTGCAGTGCCCCAGCTGCTGTTTGCCCCACCGCACTCGACATCCCCATGAGGGCATCTGACAGGCATCGGGGATCCTGACCCTGCTCCTCTCCCATCTGCCCCTCTGCAGCCAGCCTGGTGCCCTCACCCTTGCTGGCCTGTCCATGTGCTGGGAGCAAGCCCATCCCCCACTCACAGTGCCAACCTCCAGGCAGACGTGAGGAACCCAGACCGTGCTCCCAGGCACATGGATGGAGGGTGGCAGGGCAGACACCTGCACATCCTGGACAGAGACGGGACGTGTGTGTGTATGTGTGGGGGACTGTGCCCGTATGTCGAGTATGTGCATGTGTGGGAGGTGCTGTGCATGTGCACACTGTGTGCATGTGTAGTGAACGTGTGTGTTGTGTGCATGTGTACCGTGCGCGTGTGTGTTGCGTGCATGTGTACCGTGCGC